TTTGTCGGTGCTTTTGAACAGGATTTTTCAACATAACTTGTGATGCAAAAATGGATGTTACAGATTTTGCAAATCCATTCAAGCAGCAATGTTATTATTGTTACTTACTTCACTTTCCCCTAATTCTCAAAATATCGTATTCCTAATCTATAAATACCATTTATCTTTGTTACGGCCTTCTTTCGTTTGTCTACTACTCCGAGCGCGGATAATATATGTCTAACCTTAAGTCAGACCTGTTTGATTAATTCTCGCCTCTCTCTTGGTCAAGTAACTCAAACAGTGAATAGTTCATTGTAACCCCTGTATTTATTTCCATGTACTAAAACATCCACTTAGTACATCAATATATTTGGCCGAGAAATATCCCCAGGCAACAAGCCCCACAGCGAATCTAACATAAGTACTATCTCTCTCTGGTCGACTCTTGACTACTCTAACGATCTCCTCTGGACTCTCACAACTCTCAACGATCTCGCTTCTCTAATTCTCGGCTCATCTCAAGACCAATGAACACAGCGCCCTTTTACATACCAACAATACACTCAGCATACCCTGAAGCTCAACACCACGAACCAACTCCACGCTGTGACCTCACGCTCTGACCCTTACGCTCTGACCTCACGGTCAACTACTCACAAAAAACTCTCACGATCAACAACTCCCCCTACCAAACATTCACAACAATCTTGACCTGCACATGGCACGTGAACCTTGTCCCTGTTCTCTACCTGCAACAGGATTGCAAACATACCGCCTTAGTCATTTGAGACCAACAGAATCTACAGGTACTTATGACTCCTCTTGCACTAACAAAGTATGCTAACATTCTGACCAGCCATCAGCATGCACAGACACACATTAAATCAATCTTATATTGTCAAAAGCTTAAAAATTATATAACTATTTTAAGTTACACTCATTTAATTTGTTAAAATAATATAATTGTTAGTCAATTTTTAAGATTAATATTTTAATAGAGAAAACATGATTGCTGACGTCAACTAATCCTAATTTCCCCCCCCCCCTTGTCAACAATAATCAAAAATTCCCCCCCCCCCCCTTTTGACAAAGTTAATGGACGACTCTTATATGAAAACATAATTGTGAACAAAACTAAATCTATTATAATTTTTAATTTGTTAAAATAATATAATTGTTAGTAAATTTTTAAGATTAATATTTTAATAGATAAAACATGATTGCTGACGTCAACTAATCCTAATTTCCCCCTCCCCCTTGTCAACAATAATCAAAAATTCCCCCCCCCCCTTTTGACAAAGTTAATGGACGACTCTTATATGAAAACATAATTGTGAACAAAACTAAATCTATTATAATTCAGCTACTCTTCTACGTAAGGTCTCAGAGCAGTGGCGTGCAGATGTTTGCTGATGCCCCTAACACTATAGAAAAGGGCCTTTTACCGACAAATGTGCCAACTCCTTGGTCGTATGCCTCTAAAACTAAAGAAAAAGGCTTATTACTGAGAATTGGGCCAATTCCTTGGTCGTATGCCCTAACACTAATAAATGTCAACACTCTTTTGGGCTGAGACTTTAGTCTCTTATAGCCGTGGCTACACATTTGTCGGCTAGCCTCACCTGCTGGGCGTCACTGTAAATCATTTCTTCAAGGCAGGCTTCTGGGTCTCTTCCGTCCGCCCCCATCCCACCACTAGGACACGTGACAACCAAATGAGCCCCTGTTTCGTCTGCCTGACTGCAAAATCGGCAGCTTGGCTCCCTTCGGTCGTCCAGCTTATGCAGGTAACTGCGTGTCGGGCAATGTCCCGTTCTCATTTGGGTAATGAGGCTCTGTTCTCCTCTCTTTAGGTCCTACCAGGGGTCGCTCTTGCTCAGTCGCGGCATTTTTCGGTGCAGCTGTGGTCCGGTTTCTCCTACGGCCCCAACGGCGAAGCCATTTTTTTCTAAAGTGGTCTTTTAACCATGCGGTGACTCCCAGCTGAGTCATTGGTTTATTGGGTTCTGGTTGGGCCGTGCCTTCTTTTTCCAGGAAGTCGTCCCTGTCGTGCTGCGTTACGACGTGCGAAGCGATAAAGTGCAGAACTACTTTCCCGCCTTTTGCCTGGATGCTACCAGCTGTCTCCAGAATGGCGTTCACCATCGTGGTCTCATTTGAGCCCCCACCCCCCCCCCCCCCACATGCTCGAGAGCGGAGCGTGAGTCGGTGAAGATCACTACGTTCGGAATTTTTTTTTCCTTTAGCTATTCGTTGGTGGACCCTCTTAAGAGCTACCAGTATGGCCTCGATCCCCGCATTGAGGCTCGTTCTGTTCTCCCCACTGGGATCGGATAGCTCCTCGGGTGGGGCTAATCTCTTCGGGGTACTGGATGAGGGCACCGAAACCGCTGCGTTTTTCACTTGCGAAACATGAGACGTCTGTAAAGACTTTAACCTGGTCGTCCGAGTAAGCATTAATCGTTTTCTGCGCTGCCACTGATAGTTCTGGTTGAGGGCTGGCGTTATAGGTTTTGGTGGTCGTCGTGGCAAGATAAAGAAAATGTAACAGACTATGTTTTCACAAGAAACCAGAGAGGTAGCATGAGTGAACAATGAACTGTGTTGACCATGTTTTTCCACGAGGAGAGAGAGTGAATTGTATTTTTGATAAGAAAATGTGAGCTCCACGTTTTTGGAGAGTAAATTATGTTTTTTGGTAAAGCGGTCGTGTCCACGCTTTGCTGGGAATAAAAGGGGCAGTTGATTGAGCGCAGAGGAGTTAGAGTTGAGTTAGAGTGGAGTTGTAGCTGATTGAGGACTTGTCTTTCTGAAAGGTGGAATATTATATATATATGTGAAATGATTACATTCATGCAAGGATTATTATTAATATTATCAGTGTAAAGTGTGATATAATAAAGTACTGTAAGTTTAATCAGAATTCAGTATGCTTCTTTGCGTGCCTGGATAAGTGACTGGATAAGTAAGTGGAAGAATGGAAGAAGTCTTAGCCGGCATCCTGAAGCATTAATATAAAACAAGTGACCATGCTACTGACATAACGCACAAAGAAATAAGATGTCACGCCATGAATTACAATGATGTCAGAGCATGTGTTACAGAAAAGGGCCTATTACTTGGTTATAATGCCATTTACAACCCCCCTCCCCCCACCGATAAGTATCGTCATTGAAGGCCGCAGTCAAATGTTGCTTGGCTGTTCTTAATTAAAATAGTCGACTGTCTTGGCGTGCTCAAGCTCACTTAGAAGCTTCTTTTAGATGAACGGAAAAAAAAAAAAAAAAGATAAATAAATGGACCGAATACAGCAGTATAAAATAATCAGACGTTAGATTAACGTTTAAAATAAACATCGATTGAATTCACGTCCATCCCGTTTCCGGTCTTTTAATCATCAGCTGCTCTCCGCCCACTATTCGCAACAGTAACAAGTTCTCGTCACTAGCTGGTCACCAAGTCCACGGTTGTGGACCTAGAGTACAACTGAGACTAACCATGGCGGGTTACGAGATGGATAATCCTGCTTTATTATCTAGAATAGCCGCCCCTGACGTCCCCCACCCACGTTTTTAANGGCGGGGGAAGTGTGGCTGGGTGGGGGAACTGTGGCTGGGCGGGGGAACTGTGGCTGGGCGGGGGAAGTGTGGCTGGGTGGGGAAGTGTGGCTGGGTGGGGAAGTTTGGCTGGGTGGGGAAAAAGTGGCTTGGCGGGGGAAGTGTGGCTGGGTGGGGGAAGTGTGGCTGGGTGGGGGAGGTGTGACTGGGTGCGGGAAGTGTGGCTGGGTGGGGGAAGTGTGGCTTGGTGGGGTAGTATTATTACCTAGGGACAGAGTGAAATATTTAACACACACAAATTGAGAGCAATATTTTTTATACTTATATTCAAGAAATTAACCTCTTCTATTCCGCTATATTTTTATGTTTCTCATCCTCTTCTATTCTACCATATCTTTATGTTTGTCAACCTCTTCTATTCTGCTATATCGTTATATGTTTGTCAACCTCTTCTATTTTACTATATCTTTATATGTTTGTCAACCTCTTCTATTCTACTATATCTTTATATGTTTGTCAACCTTTTCTATTCTATTATATCTTTATGTTTGTCAACTTCTTCTATTCTACTATATCTTAATATGATTCTCAAACTCTTCTATTCTACAATATCTTTATATGCTTCTCAACCTTTGTTATGTAGTACACTTTCCTCGTGCCGTGAACTTTGCTTGACCCCAAAATAGATTCCTAGCAGACACTACGTTCATAGATTGGCGTGGCAAAGTTCCTTTCATCTTACCCGTGTTTACTGCCGACAGCAACTAAAAATAATTTATCTGTTCTCAATAGTATTTTGTGGAATGTTCGCGATTGTATTAGAAAAGTAAAGGCGTTTCTGGACGCGTAGGTAGACCCACTATATAAATAAGGGGTTTCAGAGATTCACTGAGATTCAGATAGATTGATAGATATTTTTAACTTCACAAGACGTGTATTATTCTTTGTGTACTCATATGTGTTTATTTGCATTCATCATCATCAATTGGCTCATGGTACTAATTGTGTACCGGTACAAGATTTTCCCATACTCTGTAAGTTGATGATTTGTAATTATAACTATATTTCTTTTGTTTTGCAATTGTATTATTACCAAATTAAATCTTATTAATTGTAATTGGTACTGTTTTAGGTGTCGTATTTTTGTTATTGTATTTCTCTATGGTATTGTCCTTTGTTAGGCACAGTTTGAATGAGCCATAAATTTAAAATAGGAGATTAGGTTCTCACAATAGACGGCACTGCGTAACACTCTTCTATTCTACTATATCTTTATATGTTTCTCAACCTCCCAATGGCAAATCCTTTCCAAATTTATTCACTATTCAAATTTATTAAAATAAATTATGACGTGGTGTATCGGACATGGTGTGGTAATTCAACATTATTATCAAGTGAGATCACAAAAATGAAAAGATAGAAATGGAATAGTTTTTAACCAAAGTTTTAATATCAATGTTTGACCCGCCAAACACCAAAACGTTAGAGAAGGTTTATCAAATAATGACACAGTTGTACGAAATGAAATGTAACTGACAAGAGTTTGAACACAAATGATAATAACAAATAACATAATGTCTAGCTTGCACAAAGTAAGGCAAATAATATGCCAACGATTGTCAATGACATCTTTTGCATATTCTTTAGAACTACCGGTAACTCAAACTATTTATAAAATAACAAAAATCCTTGGGGGCTTGTGGTAGTCAAATTAACTTAACTGAGCTGTATCAGTGGACACATCAAAACATTTCTGCTAGGAAGATACAGGGTGTCTTTTTCTTGTTGATATAATAATGAAGGGTCATGCTGTTGCTTGGAAATGAAGGCACTTAGCTCACACAGTAGAATGTTGGCTCAAATCACCACCACCACATACCACACTGCCAATCTCATTGTGGAGAACTATCACACAACACATGACATTAATGGTCTTGCTTCCTGAGTTGGTATCTGTCACACTAAGATTGCAGCCTATTTTTAGATTTGGCTTATATTTACCTGACCATTGTTGTCTAAGTCATCAGTACATTTTTACGGTGGTCAACTGCTCGATGAGCAAGCCTTCAACCCTTTGACTTTGTATACTTATTCTAGTCCAGTGCTTTTTAAACTTTACATCACTGTGTCCATTGGGGGCCTGTCCCTTCAATTTGAAAACCACAGTACTAGCCCTAATAAAATCACTTCAGAACCCTGGCATCACGCTGTAAAGCACCACATGCTAACATTTATAAATCATCTATAATGGAAACAGAGACCACATTTTCTCCTCTGATTAGCAATTGATTGATATGTCTGATGGTAATGTTTTCATCGGGGACACCCAACATTAAAGCTTCTCTCTCATAAGGTGACAGCGGAGCTTTCTGTCCCTCATAGACACTCTGAATCCTTCGCAACTGTTTCTCTAATAATTTGTCTTTATCTGACATTACGCCGGTCTTGTTGTTGGAAGCTTCACATGGAAGGTTTGAACTTAAGGAGTCCTTAACTCTAGACCCTGATGTGCATGCATCTGAGGGTAGAGACTCACCGGGAGAACACACAATGTCTTTTTGCTTTGAAACATTGGTTAGAATTTTGTTCAATTCATCAACACTAGGGACGATGTTCAGTGCCTGAAAAGAGGAGCTGGCAGAAGAGATGTCTTTATTTTTGGACTCCTGCAATGACCTCCATCTTGCCAGGCTCTCTTCTTTTTCTTTTATCAGGGTTTTTTGAGCAGCTATTAGCTTGTGGGTTCTTCTCTAAGGACAGCAAGGTAAGAATAGATTTATATTAATACAAACATGCAGGATAACATTTGTCAAAAATAGCCAAAACATGTTCCTATGATTAAATGTGAATTCCAAAAAATTCATGTTATTATATAATTACATATTCATAAGAATAAAAGTTGTATGTTTGTCAGTTTTAAATGTATTTAAAATCCTCCTTTTTCAAGGGGTTAGGTATTTGACCAAAGAACATGAACTATTGAAATTTTAATGACTGATTAGTGTTACTTTGTTATGAATACATCTAGGCCACTTGCAGTTGATTATGTGTATGGTCACCAAAGAATTATTTCTAAAATGTATGAAATGCTTTGTTTGACTAGGGGACACACATTTACAACTCAGGCACTATTATAGGACTGACATTTTTTTTGTGTGGAATATCATGCGTTTTAATAAACATAACTAAAATAAATTATTAAAGCATTTCTACAATTATTAATAAATCATTTTAAGAAATCTTTACTTACTGCTCTTACTTTTCCCAAGGCTGCTGGCCTTTTATATATTTCATCCACATCAATCATGGCCTAAAAATATTAATAATAATATTAAAATATTGAGTTTCTTGTTGCCTTTTACTTTAAATAAAATGCAAACATCTTTTTATTGCTGAAATGAAATGGCAAACAATTTGTAAAAAAAAAAAACCACACAAAAAAACAAAAAAACATGGAAGTGGAAGGTTAAATAAGAAAGATAACAACCAATCTTCCTTTGTAAAAAAGGCATAGCATTATAAAGGAGGAAAACAAAAAACAGATGCATATGTCAGAACAAAACCAGCTATCTCCAACTATTTCACATTCAAAGAATGCTATAGCTAGTTTATTACCATATTGAAATATTTATCAAAAGCCACAATGTAGCCTCTACAGATGCTCCTTACAGACACTGCAGCTCTTGTCTTTACCCTTACATGCAAGCGCTCCTCTACACAGCGTTTTAATAGACTTATGGGTCCTGAAACTGTTAAAAATTAGAAATGTATTTTATGAAAAATCAAATAAGATGTTGTTTCCAAGGTTTTTGGGAGTCTATAGATAGGATTTTAAACCTGAGGTTAATATGTTGCACATATTTTAATAACAATCAATAATTAGAAACAACCAAAGATAACAAAGAAATATTGTTAAACTCATCAACTTTACGCAATAAATTTTTAAATATCAATCATTACATTTAAGTTTGTTGGTAACAGTTTTCAGGATTTTAAATCAAATTATTCTAAACTTACTTGCTTCCATTCGAGAAAAAACATTCCGCTGCTTTGTCTTTTTCTCTGATCTTGAGCCTGAATGAGAAGTACCTTCTCCATGATCTGAAAGCCTCCCTAAAGGCAATCCTTTTGATGTTTCCGGTTTTGAATTTGTAAAGTTTTCATCCCTGCTTGGCTTGCATTTTTCAGCACCTTTATATGGATCTTGTTTGCTCCTGGAATCTTTTAGATCTGATTCTGGTACCTAAAGATACAGATAAAATATTGCTTTTAACAATTTTATAATGTTCTTCAGTCTTACTTTAGTGACACCAAGGCAGAAGTTAATAACTTCTTTCTTAAAGACTTATACTTGTTAAAATCATATCTTGTTCTTTAAATCTCAATCAGATTTTGAGCACCATGAAAGAAAAGCCAATTTTTTAGCCTAACAGATTTGCAAAGTTAATGTTGTCTACCTCTTATAGTGTTAGGTTGAAATGAGACATCCCATTTAAACCTAGGCTGAAATGAGACATCCCATTTAAACCTAGGCCAAAGACAAAAATGATCATTGTTGATTTTAAAAAAAAAATATTTAGGATGAAAAGAAATGTAGTTCAAGTAGCACATTTTTGTCTGGTATCCAAATTTAAAATTCCTAAGACAATGTTAGTAGAGTCATGCGTAATGCATTAAAAATAATACATATTCACATGAAGACCTCAGCGGAAAAACCAGACATGTCACATTTTGAAGATTTTGAGAAAAGTGGATTTTAAAGTTTGAAAGTATCCAATATTTTCACATGTTAAAATAAAATGCTATAATTTTGTCTATAGTTAGTGATACCATTTTACTTACAAAATATATCAGTTATTAAATATTTTGTGACAATTTATTACATTTTTACAGCTTTTTACCGGGCTGACCCAAAATTGTGACTTGTCTGCTTTTTCCACTGAAAATTGAAAACTTTTTTAAAAACCATATTTTATGGCTTTTAAAAGGCCATTACTTATCTACTTCATCACAAAGTCAACTTAAGTGACCAATTTTAATGATAAAACCAATTGAGGCCGAAAACTCCCCTGTTATTTTACAAAAATAATAATTAAAAGTTATAATTTTTACCAAAAAAAGTCTAAAGCCAAAGCAGTGTTCAGTGTACAAGCCACTGATATCTTGTACTGTTGGTGTAATGAGTCAATGATAATATAATAAATTCTATCAAATTTATACTTTCACAATGTCATTACCATTCAGTTTGTTATAAATTATATGTAACACATGACCCTGAACTGGTATTGAAGTTGATGAAATTGGAATATGCTTGTTTTATGCTATTTTTATACACACACTAGCACTAGCATCAGTCATCGCTCAGTTGACTGTATGGGTAGTGATTTTCATTCAAATAAAATAAAGAGATTATGGCCTGCATTTTCAAAAACAATGAAAAGATAAAGATAGTTATAGTATGTTTAACAGCTTTTAATCGGGAACGATCACATGCAATAGCACAAAATATGTTGTAAATCATTGTATTGTTCTCATCACTGCCGTCTGCCGTCAGTGGTCTGATTAAAACGATGCTTGAAGCAGGAGACGAGCATACTTTTTGTTCTGCTGTTTTTTTTTTTTGCCTTTATTGAACAATCATCATTTATCAGAGGCAACACACTAAGCAAGCTGAGCTTACTCTAAGAAATACAACACTGATACACTGGCAAAGTAGACTAACGATTAAACTTAATCCTAAGCCTAAACGTTCATCATTTTCATTCTAATCACATAAACCTTGCACGGTGACTATCTTTACCCAATGTATGACTAGAAAACTTTGCTTCCTAAACCTGTTTTTCTTTCTCCGTTTTTTTTTTCTCTTTAAGATTATATTAGATAACAATAGTAATAGTAGCAGTTAATGTATGGTGTAATTTCCATGTCGGACAATTGACCTACATTCTTTATTTATTTACGTTTTCCTTACTTGCCATTGGTTAAGCACATCACGTGATATTAAGGAAGGTTACTTTGATTTTTTTCATCTACATTTTCACTGGACATGTCTGGTTCTTCCAAAGTATGCACTATTTTAAATCCCCGATTACTCGTAAACGAGGTGATTTTTGCAGTAGTTTTCAGTGTCCTCTGAAGCTTTATTATGAGCTGAATTGGTTAAGGGGGATAACTCAAAAATGAAATTTTGTGACATGTCTGGTTTTTCCGCCGAGGTCTTCATATACAAGAAGGAAAATAGAAAAAAAATATTGTAAAGCAATACATCGCAGTCAACGAAATTAAATAAATTATTCCTCAATTTTACATATCACAATATTCCGTAAGAGAATTATTATATAACTTTCAGTATTCTCAAAGAAAAAAAACATTTCTGACTCAATTGACCAAGAATTACTTAAGATATTACTAAAGAACAATCAAAATATCTTATACTTACCGGTACCCCAAGCAAATGTCTAGAACTTATTTTAATTTCTATCAACTGCTAAAGTCTAAAGTTGATTCTAATAATACATGTTGGTTTGCAAAACAAGATTACTTACTAACTTAAAATAAATGACGTACTAATATTTTTCTCATTTGCATATGGGACTATAATATATGAAATATAAATTAATATATATCAAATGGTAAAACAGAAGTACCGGGTAATTATTATGCTACGAATCGACTATTAAAATTAAAGGCAAAACAGTGATACCCTCCAAAAATTAAAAAGTGGAGGTCGTCATTTTGTCAATGAAATTAGGATACCTGATTTTCGGGTTTTTGCAATACTGAAGTCCCCAAAAATAATGACATTATGATTATAAATTGAATCAGAATGTACCTATTTTCGGGGATCATGGGCATGATATATTATTACAATCAAAACAGCTGAAATTAAGAAAAAATGAATTACTCTTTTCTTAAAGTTACTGTATGTGAGCTCCTTTTCATATCTTGTAGATATTGATTTTGAAAACTCTGACATATGTCTTTGGCCATCAGAAAGTACAGAACCTGTCCTTGGTCTTGGTCCAGATTGAAAGGTCGTTTTATCCCCACTTTTGTGACTATGCTGCTGCCTAGAATCTATTAAAGATGAATTTCTGCTTTCAGGTGATTTACTACGATGTGACGGTTTATTTTTTGAATCTGCTCTGAGACTTCTTTCAGTACCGGCACTTGTGCTTTCATCTTTCCCAACGAGTTCTGTTTGACTCTGTTGTTTTCTTTGCTTACGTTTTTGTACTGCCTTTTCATACTTACAAACGGTTGGAAATGATTTTATTTCTGGATATGGTACAGATATATTTTCCGAGAAGAGCGCACGTTCAGGATTAAATTTAGCAGAGAAAAAGTCAAGTTCTTCATCATAATCTTTCTTTTCCTCATCCCGTAAAGATGCGTTACCTGCTTTCTCAATGGGTGAAGCCATCTTTTAAAAACGATAATTATTAATGAGTCACCTCCCTTCACTAACTGACACATCATTTATTTTGAAAAAGTTTCGAACAATTTTAGTGACATACAATCCTTTATTTTTAAATAAACGGAATCGTCAAGACCAAATAAAAAAAGAATCAATTTTTCATCTATTTATTTGTATATAAAAATATTTTATAGTAATTCTTCTTTTTTTAAGCATGCGAAAACAAGGCGCATCTGGTATGCCATGGTTACACAAGACGCTCATTGGGACTCAAGTTGAAATTTTCATAATAAACATGCCTCCCAAGAAGGGAAAGAAAGGAGGAAAGAAAAGTGGAAAGAAGGGTGGGAAGAAAGGGAAGAAGGGTGGGAAAAAAGATACCCCGTCAGTTGGAGATCAATCTAAAGCACCAGAACCGACTGAAAAAGAAGTCTTACTTCAAGCTGAGTAAGTGTCAATAGATAATAAATTAAATTCCTATATAATCTATACTATTAGTCGATAGTAAAGAAGTAGAAATTTAATTAAAATTTTACAAAATAAAAGAAATGAGTAAAAATTGTTAGGTGAAAGGGTAGTTGAATTCATAGTATTACAAAAAGTTTTGAGTGGTTGTTTTTGTATCCTTCTTAATTTTATGTACTTAACTTAAACTTAATTTTTAATGTACTCTTGTTATCCATACCGAATAGTAATCATCCTTTCACACTGTTTATTTCTTTACTCATAATCATATAATTTACAATATATGCGTTGATGAGACATTAGAAAATAAAGTGTTATTGGTAATCTACCACTTGTGCGTTGGTTATGAAAAAATTCCTGTTGTTCCTGTTTGAAGTGTGCTATTAATAGGGTTGCCAGACGTCCGGCAAAAGGAGCGCATTTCCTCGTTTTAGCTCAATATCCTCCATCCGGCAGGCAAAGCTAAAATCTTTTAAAATGTCCGGCATTTCTTACATTTTATAATATAATTTTTATGTATTGACAGTATCGTTGTTACAACTATTACATGGTATGTTTACGTTGTTACAATGTACAAATTCTATGCATTTCTGGGAACAAGTCGATTTTAGTCATTCTAACAATCTAGCTCTGTGCTGTATTATCTATGGTCACAATGTTAATTTTATTGCCGGTTCCGGCAACAAAGACGTAAATTTAAATTGTTTTTTTAATTTGTAATTTTTGCTGTCTATGTTTACGAAATTGGCTAATTCTCGAACACTATGAAAAATAAGTTTCCTTGCTTTGTTGAAGGATGCAATGAGAATGAGGCAAAGTATATGATTTGCGATAGTTACTTGTGCGTTGCCAACAAAGGAGCTACTGACTTGGAGCGCCATGTTGACAGTGAGAGACATAGAAACCTAATCAAAGTGTCCGCGTCATCAAACAAATAGACGTGTTTTTTTCAGCATAAGTATTCACAGGTGTTGTTGAAAGCACATGCGGCTGAAGCAACTTTGGCATTTCATAGAGTTTGTCATCCTTATTCTTACAACTCGATGACCTGCACAGGTGGTTTGATGCACACATTATTTGAAGTTTTGGAAATCGCTAAAAATATTGCTTGTGCAAAAACAAAGACTGAAGCAATAATAAACCAGGTAATTGGCCCCCACACTGTTGATCAATTGAGTAAATCTTTAGGTGGCATTTCACATTTTGGTCTTTTGACAGATGCTAGCAATCACGGTTCACAGAAAATATTTTCGATCGTTGTTCAATACTTTGACTGGAAGGCAGGTGGAATCCAAACTAAGATTCTCGATTTAGACAACATACCAAATGAAACCTCAGAAACTATATCACAGTACATTTTGAGAATGCTCCAAAAATAATGATATGTACTCCAAATTTATTGCCTTTGTTGCTGACAATGCCAATGTAAATTTTGGAGGCATTAACAGAAGAGAAGGTAAAAATGTGTTTTCGCATTTGAAGGAAGCCTTGAGCAGGCCGTTAGTAGACGTTGTAAGTCTGGCTTACATTCTGCACAACTGCATCCAACATGGCGCAGATTTAATGCAGATTGATGTTGAAACTATTGTCTTGAAGATATTCAATCACTTTTCTATATGCACTGTCAGAACAGAAACTTTAAAGGAGTTTTGTGACTATGTCGACATTAACTATCAGCAACTACTGTAACACTCTAAAATCAGATAGCTCAGTTTTTTTCCAGATGTTGAGAGGCGGCTGAAGCTGTTTACTGCTTTGAAAGAATAGTTTCTTTCTGTAAACCCACCACCTGCTATGATATAAAAAAAATGTTGAGAACGATTTTTCAGAAGTTTACCTTTGGTTTCTGCATTTCTTGATGTCTGTCTTCCAAGTCAATATTGCAGTCTTTGAAAGAGAAGAAACATCAGTATTAGAGGTTATGAGCCTTCTTCACACAACCTTGGAAGTTTTGAAAAACAGATTAAAGAGACATTTATTTCACTGAAAGTCAGGGAGATGTTGAGAAGACTTGAGGAAAGTGGTCAAGAAGAAAAGAGTATAATTATAATAATTTTATGGCAGATGTTAAGTTGGTGTATGACGCATGCATTAGTTACTTAGAAAAGTGGTTGAAACCTTTTAATGAATTTCAATGCTTTAATTGGATGTACTTAGATAAAATCAAAGACTGTAAATTTGATGACCTTTTGAGATGGGTATTATTGTAGATGATGTGCAATTGTTTTACCAATACTGCAATCTTAAATCATTTGTACAAGACAAACATGAACATTTTTTTGAAAGACTCTTGCATGAACAGTAAAGTTTATTTTTCCAAAGTTGCCCAAATGCTTGTTGCTTTTCAGAGTTACTTAAAATTTGTGAATTTTTGTTCTGTATCCCTGGACACAATGGCAATGTAGAAAGAGTGTTCTCCTTGATTAATGCTCAATGGACAAAGGAAAGGAATAGACTCTTACTCGACTCTGTAAAGGGCATCATTCTTACAAAGTAAAATTTGAAGAATCTTACCTGTGAACAGTTTTATGCATATTTGATTTCTAACAAGGATCTTCGGCGAAAAGTTGGGTCCTCCGAGAAATATGTCATATAATTAAGACATAATGATTATAAGGTAATGATTGTACGTTTGGCTATTTAAATGAGGTTTTTTGACATTTTGAAAAAGGCGTCCATTGAATTTGTTTTTTTAACATGAATTTTTCTTGGTCGATTCACTAAGAGTAATATACACTTAATTGGCAGTTATTACAATAAAATTGTGATGACTATGAGTTTAGTCCAGGACGACTCAAAAGAAACATTAAAAAATGTCCTCTTTTGTCCTATTTCTTGTTTTATTATGTCCTCCTTTTGGTGTCTCAAAAGAAACATTCAAAAATGTCCTCTTTTGTCCTATTTCTTGTTTTATTATGTCCTCCTTTTGGTGTCCAGGTATCTATTAAACAGTTATTTTTTCTATTGTTGTGGACAGTGGATTGAGGGCCACTGGGTTTTATGTGGAAAAGAAAGAGAGAGTGGGGAATGTTTTCTCATCAAAGTACCAGACAGATGTCCAATCATTTTATAGGATTGTATAGAAAGATATATTCTTCCAGGCTCACAGATTTTATAGGATGGATGGGCTGCTTATGCAATCATAAGCCAGAACAGACATGGAATGTTTGACATTCCTTTGTGGTCCATCAACAAAACTTTGTTGATCCAAATGATGCTTAAAAAATGTGGATGCATGCAAAATGCAAACTAAAAATACAGTTTAGCACAGCCTGTAATGTTTTCCCTTCCAATTGCATGAATACATGTTCCGTTTTCATGGAGATCATATTTTAAAAAACATCATTGTTACCTTGGGGGAGAACTATGCATTATCCTAAACTCTGTTGTCTTTTAAACATTAAATTGTTTAAATTTTTATATTTTAAAAATTGTATTGTTATTTTAAAATTGTTTTAATTGGTATATTTTAAAAATTTTGTCCTGGATTATTTATAGATGTGCTGATATGAATATGTACTATGACATAAAATAATATTTCCATCTATGTGAATAAATAAAATAATTGTATCTTATGAATAAAACAATAACAGTTTAAATAGCACTTCAAACTGGAGCAAAAGGATTTTGTTATAACTAACGCTGATGTGGTGGATTACCGTGTTTTTTTAAATCATTAGTACATGGAGGTACATCTGCATCCTCTGGTATGGGTTAATGTTTCCATCAGGTCCTCAGTATAACTACTGTAAATACTGTATATATTTCATGAATTTAAAAAAAATAGAAACATCACCATTCACCCACCCCAACCTTTTTTCTCGCAGTAAAAGATATAAACTTTGCCATAGGAACAAAAACATCATTAAGTAAAAAAAAAAATAGGCTCCTTAAAATACTAGTCTATGAGGACAGTATGTGTTTTAAATATAAAACTGTTTAAAGGATGAGGCCAAACCATTATAATGATTCATCACAAATTAAGGCTTTCTAAATGTTTACAAATTCTTCCCAGTATATCCATGAAAATGTCAGTCAGGTTTCTGGAGTAACTTTCCAAAATTATTGAAACTAAGCTTCCATATTACATTAGGACTAATTTACTTACTGTTGATTCCAATGTGTCAATTATAACATAATCACCTCCACAATCCAATCAAATCAGTAATATTTGATAATTGTTAAAGAGAATAACAAATACTTTGAAAGCAAAGATATAATAAAATTAAATGCACAATTTACAATAGAAATAATGGATATTCAAGAAAAATTGACAGTTAGTTGAGAAAGTAAGAGTTATTCTATTTTGTAACCCTAAACCGCTACTAACACACACATATTTTAGGTGATTGTTGACTTAATTCGAGATTTAAATAAATGAGCAATTTATTGAATTTCAGAATTATGAGAAAATTATTGCAGAATATGTGCATAAATGTACATAGTAACCCTCCCCAAATAAACTCATAAGAAAAAATATCCTTAATCAACAAATACCTCCATCTGTGCATGTGTAATATATGGATAGCCCCTTAAGGCTGCATAATACAGATGTTCTGTTTTCTTGTTTATACACCTGGCAGTGTATGTAGCAATTTTTTCACACTGCTTTCAATAAGCAGCAAAAAAAATCAACAGCTCAAGAAAGGTAATAGACTTCAATGACTTTCTTGTAATTCTCTTTATGGCAGACAGTTTTTTATCCACTGGTGTAGGAAGGGTATGGGTGGATAGTGCAGTCTGCTCTGGATGGCTCTAAACACTACACCACTGAGTTTATTCATATCAGACAGCAAGATAGAACTTAAAATCAACATATAATGGATTTTCTGATATTCAGTGCAAGACATGTACAACATTTAAGATAAGATTATTTTATTAATCCAAATAAATGGAAATTTTTTTTTGATTACAATGTACAAATTCATTTCAGCACATGCATGGCTATTCTTACAAAGACAAATATTTTTTAAATTAGGACAATTTAACATAAATATCTAAAAGTATTTTGTAAGCGCAAAAAATCAAATGTCACATCTCATATGCCATGGAACTTCACTCAGTTAGTGATTATGTTGAATTAAGAGTGTTTATTTAGATTTTTCTATTATCCAATAGTTCCTGATGACCTAATTAGATTATTGTTCAAGGCTACTTAGGAGCATAAATGAATGTTCATTGTCTTGTATGAAATTATATTAAGCAGAAAATAAATTTTTTGTTATTTAATTTTTTTTTTTACAGATTAGAGAAAGTAACTCTTCAATTGGAGGCAGCAAAGTTCACAGTTGAAGATTTGTAAGATTTCTCAGAAAAAGAAAAAAAAAACTAATATAAAAATAAATGTTATTTAAATCTTATTAAAACTTATCTGAAATAGTCTATTAGAAATTAAACTTACCTTATTTTATTTTTTAAAATGCATCCTTTTGATTAAAAAATACAATTGGTTTTATTTCTTAACATTACACAGGAAGCAGGAAAATGAATGGCTGCAAAATGAAGCTCAAAAAATTAGAATTGAAAGTGTAAGTTTTTTAATATTTGGTTTCTTTCCTTTTTTATTTTACTTGTTGAGTGAATTCTGAGCTGAATTTAATGACTCTTAATATCATCAAAATTCTTTAAATTCTCTGCATTAAAGAGGTCATTCTGTAGTGTTTTCACAAGATCATGATGAGAAAAATGTTAGAAATAAAAATAGAAAAATGTTGTGTCAAAAAAAAATCATAATAATAATAATGTATGTCATGTAATAGCCTACGATTGACTTAAAATATCAGTAATCATATCAAAGTTGCAGGCACTAAAATAAAATTATTATTTTATCCCCACTGCTGCAGGGTATGAGACATGTTACAAAAAATTTAAAACTCTGTAGTTAAAACATAGAATAAGAATTTTAGTAGGCTCTTTGGGGTCACCTTGTGAATCAACCTTATTCAAAATTAATAAGTTTTAGGTCTCTCCCTCAAATGTATTTTTAATAAATTTGTATACTGTACCCCTGTATGTAAACATCTTTTTTTGTGATAAGTTTGCAGATAATAACTTCTTTTTATTTTAAAAATGAACATATTCTATTTTATGGGCTTAGAATTCATGAGTACCTTGTTTGCTTATGAAACTAGAATTGATAATTGGGAATTTTGACATTGAAATGGTATTTTTGTGGCATTTGTCTGCAGAAGAAGGCATCTAGCCAAAAATTCCCTTTATTGTCCTGTCTTTTCATTTCAAGTCTAAACATATCTTGTTCAACTATTTTTTTTAGCATGAGTATATGAGTTACATGGAGAAAAAGACAAGTAAAAGACAAACAACTATTATCACCTTGAGTGATCACAATAAGCAGGAGATCAGAAACCTTCAAATTCAAAGACAAAATATGGAAGATGAGTTTGATGAAAAGAAGCGAGGTGAAACATTCATTCATTTCATGTTATTTTTAGAAGTGATTTAAGTTATCTCAGACAATTAATCTTTAATTATGACAATTACAGTTACCTTAGAACTGATTACTTTAATGATAAATTTTAACTGAGGATCTAACTTTTACCTTATTTTTCCACTATATTAGTTAGTTATATATATTATATAGTCAACTGATGAGTGTAGATAGGCATAGCTTCAAAAGAAGTTGGTTTCATCTTCTTGTGTAAACCAAATTTAGTATACCACTTTGCACAACTATAAAATTCAATCGAAGATATTTTTTATGGATGTTCAGCCTATCCCACTTGTGTTTTTAAATTAAGATGGTTCACTTAAGGCTAGAAGAGGTTTCTGTCAATTTTAATGTATCTTGATGAGCATCCTGTAGCACCACCAGTGGGGTTCAGGGAAAAATGGATCTCTTTCCATTTTTCTCTGTCTACCACTGCATTATTTCCACCCAAGTCATTTCAATTATGCTCCAGAACTAGAAAATAAAATATCCTTCTCTATTTGTCTTTGAAGTGTTCCATGTGAGTTCCTGTCTGGCTAAACTTGAAGGGCCATTCTGGAGGGTGCATCCTATCCACCTCCTCTTCTTTTTTTCCTTGATTTTGTGTTTCATTAGAAGATAAGTTTAAATCAGACACGACTTCATTTTTTCCAAATTAAAAAAAAAAATCAAACAATAATACTGTTGATGAAAAGGTGGGACTCATGGTAAAATAAAGTCGTGCAAGAACTTAATAATTGAGTATTGTTTCAGCTTTAGAAAATCTACTATTGCAAAAACAACATCTGCTAGAAAAAGCTAACCAGGAACTAAATGACTTACAAGAATATAAGGTAAGCAGTGTTATTGCTAATCATCCCCTTAAGTTGCAGGTGCACATTTTTGGAAATCGCCCCCCCCCCCCAAAAAAAAAAAAAAAAAATACTTCCCATCTAGTGAAGTTACCTGAAAAAACTCCAGTAACACACATTTAAAAATCCCAATTTTTTCTACAACTTCCCTCCCCCCCCCCCCCATAAACAACATAACAAAATGATCTTTTTAACCCACCCCTTCCTTGTTTCAAGTTATTTATAGAAAATATTTACATTTGCAATTAAATGAAGTCACTGTATTTAAAATTATGTCACAGGTTTTCTTTGCTGGCCATTTGACATAGGCAAATGCTGGATTTAAATTTGTCACTAGGCTATAAATTAGTATTTCAATATAAGGTGAAGTCACTTTTAAAAACTCTAAGCAACAGTATTGCAGTAGTTATGATACTTTTTATATCCTTCAAAAATATTAAACATCATTTCACAAATTTTTTGTGATGGTTGGCTATATTAGATATTTATCCCCCCCCCCCCCCCCCCCCCCCCCCCACACCCCGACCCTTAGCAAAGTCTTCAAAAGCAGCTCCCATCCTTACAAGCACATATGTAACATATGGATGGCCCCTAAGTTTATGGTGCTTTTCAAATATTAAAATGTACTTAAGAAGGAAAAAAAGCTATACAAAGATTAATTAATTTTTGTATTCCTAAATCTTATGATTTAAAACTTGAGGGGAAAAAACTGCAATCATTTTTTTTTCTAATTATTTCTGATATAAAATTAGTCATATGTAATCCAACTTAATTAAATCAACATCCTCCATTCACCATGAAAAGCATTATAGCCATGGAACCACCTAAACTTACTGTACCTGTACTCACTGTATGTATAATCCCCCTGTCTGAGAATCAGGATTTGCAGTCAGACCAGCTGAACAAAATTAAAGAATTAGAACAGGAAGTAGTGAAGATGAGAGCCCACCACACAACATGTGTACAGCAGATGAAGTCTGACTTTCTTAGAGAAAAGAAAGACTTCCAGCATGATTCAGAATTCAGGGTACAGTCTTTGGAGAAAAAAGCTATTCAGGTGTGTATGTATTGAAAGTGATATCCAGATTTTTTATTACATTGAGGTAAACATGTAATTATTTAAGGTATAATTGTTCTTAAGTAAAAATTAATATGACATTTTTGATTTTTATAAAAATTGAAAATTTGGAGAGAGATTAATAAAATGCTGCTGAAGTATTGTAATATTTTAAAAACAATTCAATACTTTTTTTTTTCATTTTATTTTTAGGATGCACAACAATGCTTGTCTGAGCATGCCAACAAGATAAAACTAGAAAACAGAGAACTGAGGCAGAAGCTGATGCAGTTGATTAAAACAACAAGGGCACTAACAGATCACCAGAAGACGTTGGAGGAACAAAAACGCCAGCTCCTTAGGGAGCAAAGTTATGCATATGACTTAAAGAAACTGAGAGAAGCTAGGCAGAAAAAATCATTTAAACCATTGGAAGATAACCCGCAAGAGTCAAATCAAGAGGAGAAAACATGAGTAGTTGATAAAGTTATTTAATTCTTGATGTTTCATTGACACTTAGATGTATTGGTTAATAATGCAAAAGATTAGAATGTCTATAAGATGGCTGGGTAATAGGTTTGGATGCAACGTGAGTGGATTTACTTACACTTAAAAACATTCTTTTTATATTTTATGTAATTGTAATGTTCTTAAAATTGTTCCATGTTATCTTATAAATAAAAGTTTTTATTAAAATATTTAAACTTATTGTTAAATGGTTTCCTCATTTCAAAAAAATTATTTCACATCTTCTTTGACTGATCATTCTTGTTAGAAATATATAACAATTTTAACTATGAACTCAGGATTGCATGACTATTAATTATGAACAAATAAGTTAATAATGATGCTCTGAAGGCTGAATAAGAAAATTTGTTCTATTTCTAAAGATAACATTTAAAGTTGGATAGGGGCCATCCATAAAAGACGTCCACCAATTTTTTGCTATTTTTTACCCCCCTCCCCCTTTGTCCACTTTTGTCCACTTTTGACTTGACCCCCCCCCCCGTTGTGGACGTCCAAAACATAAAATTTACAGAACTTAAATTAATGCATATTTTGGGAAAATGTACAACAATATAAAGAGTATATATTTACAAAGATTTTTTTTAGAAATTCCAATTATTTGCAGGCAAAATTCTAAATGAAATAATAACTGTTCAAAAACATTTTATTGAATCACTGTATTAAAAAATGTAATAAACAAATAATCCACCACTCTTCAATCAACGGAAAATTCGGACTGCAGCCATTCAAACATGTTTCGTATAATGACAACATCTATTCTTGAGTCTTCAATTGCTAATTCAATTTGAGTGGCAGTCTCTTCGTCTGCGTCTGCCATATTATGTTCACTAGCAGGAATATTGCAATGGACGACCTTATGTTTTTTCATTGCCGCCTGTGATGGGAAATATTTACCGCAGAA